AATCGAATTCTATAACTATGACCATCTAATCATCGTTTACCAGAAGTTAAGAGAAACTAGCCTTCGCTGGAAAACGCCCGAAAAACTGGCAAACATAGGTGACTTTAGATAGTTGATATAGAGATGAGGACAGTCAGCCAGATATTTGACGTGAACGCAGATCCCTTGGAGTTTGAGCAAGCATGCAATGGCACATAAATTTAGCGCGCTTTTAAAAGTGCACCAATAAAGCAGTTGCTTCAAAATCGTAACGCATTTTTGATAGAACTACATCGAAAGTATTGCTTGTATGGCTCAAATCTGAACACATTACAAGCACTGGAAAAGGCATTTTTTAGCAAATCTGCGCGACTAAGTGAGATGAGTTACCTCCAAAGAACCTACCACATGTAAGCTTACCTGCTGTGGATCAACCAAATCAACTCGCTCCCATCGCTCCAGCGGTAAATCACGATCTTCTGCGTAAACCAATGTTGTGCCTATAAACAGGAGAATTTTTCAAAATTTAATTTAAATTTTACATCAAATGAAGTTTCAAGGGCTGAAAAGACAAAAACAGCTTTTGGAAAGCTCCTCTTAAACTAATTCCTTTTGAAATTTCAGTTTTCTAAATTAAAAAACCCTACTAAAACATATCCTGATCCCACACTCAAACACACGCACACACAACATATATATATATATCTCCTTTTGCATGCATTTTTCACTTTCGTTAGATTTAGCTGATAACTGACCAGTGACAGATGGCGCAATTGAACTTGGATAAGTCCACATGATTTGAACGCGACCCGGCGCCAACAAGCGATAGGATAATGTATTCGCTTCACGACGTTCCAGTAATTCCGTACGCTCTATCAAACAAAAAAAAAACACAGTTAAGTGAGATCTAGGCACAGGAGATTTGAGCTGTTAACTATGTCTATCAAAAAGAGGAAAGGGATTTGGAAGCACGGCATTGCACTGATAAGGACAAGGGATTGTTTGAGACTAGGGCTACTGCTTTTGAAATCGGGCGCAAAAGTGTCTTCGACGCGTTTGTTGTTCAAGCAATGAATTTTTTTAGAAAAATTTAATTCAAAAAAAAAAAAACTACTTTTTATCATCTGCAGAAACTTCAGGAAATGCTTCGGGCAAAACTGCTTTATAAGTTTTCTTGTCAAACATCATGAATACCAAGACCATATGGGCGATCTCTATGTGGATATCATGTAAAGGATATTATTGAGAAGTTCCTACACCCAAGCATAACTACGCAGTTTCTTTCGATCCTGGACACCAGTTAGCATCCTTTTTTTCGCACGTTGCTACATCAGTTCTTTAGTGGCCACTCGAGCGGCTGTTTGCTTTCTGGCAAATACCAGGGCCCTGACTGTTTATATATGATCAGTCTTATTTGGTTCTGTGTTACTTCAGTGGGAGCATAAAGTTTTTTTTTTTCTTTCTTTCGTGTCTAGGAGATTCCACAGCAGTATAGACTAGGATGTCAGACATTTAGATAAGAGGCTCAAAGTAGAACGAAGGCGGAATTTTCAGCAAAGGAGATTAAGTGGAAAATGGCGTTAGAAAATGACTAGATGAATTTAAAAAATGTTAAAATTAGCGATAAGTCAAAGAGTAAGAGGAGCAGAAATAGAACACCTGGGACGGCGGAAAAAGAAAGTAGGACCTTACAC